ACTGTATGAGTTCTAAATATAGCGATTTATAGACAGATTCATATTTGATAGCATTAGTCGTGCTATAACTAAAGTATAACCTCACTATACAAGAGTGGCCCTAGAGTGGCCCCTCCGACGATTAGTGCTAATATTTATAGATTATAAACCATTTAATTTGTTTGATTACCGAACGGATTGTTGATTCCTTACAATTGTTATTAATTTAAACCCTAAAACAAACTAATAATTTGATTGAATTGATGAACAGGTGATTGAGATCTCGATGAAGTACGAGTCGGATGAGTGCGAGACCGGAGCCGACAGTGAGATCGCGTGCGGAATGAGTTCACTGTTAACGCAGACATCCAATGAAAGTCATGACAATAGCTCTCAAAATTATATATTACACGTGAAGTCCGGTCATCACAAACGACTGGCCGGCTTTCAAGCAGAGTTCGTGTGCCTTAGCCCTGGTATCGATTGCACAACACCTCCCTTTAGGATTACATCCCTTTGTGTCAACTCATACGCCAACCTGTAATCACATCATTAATATTATATTCATTTTCTAAAGTGTTTTCTCATCAACTTTTTTATATTTAATTCTCTCTCTCTCTCTCTCTCTCTCTCTCTCTTGTAATATATAATTTTGAGAGCTATTGTCATGACTTTCATTGGATGTCTGCGTTAACAGTGAACTCATTCCGCACGCGATCTCACTGTCGGCTCCGGTCTCTTTTGGTTGTTTCTAAATATAATCATTTATTTAATGTTTAATGTGTGTCCTCTTCATAGGGTTGCCTACGGAACAGAAAATAGTCTCATAATTATAGATACGATTCAAAAGTGTGCTGTACTTAATGTGTCGACCAGTAATTTATACGGTTTGTCACCACTTATTACCGCTTTATATTCACTGCAAATATAATTATGTTTAACACAAATATAACGTCTAAATTAATTTATGCTTAAAAATTAAAACCAATTGATTAAACGTATTGATGGGACGACAGGTGCGGCCGATCCCTACCAGAGGTCTATGCGGACGATGAAGAAGACGCCGCCAACAGGTGTGCCGCCAAACAGGGATACCTTCGATGGCAATCAGAGCGATGCCGATCGATGCAAGTCTCCCACCTCTGATCAAGTAATACACTATCATTACTATCGTTTGATTATTACTATTATTCCCAAAACATTTCCGCCTTTTATATACGAATCGACCATTTATTACAAAATTACTGTATTTTCTATTATATATAACAAACAAAACATTTTCTCTGCCATATTCTGTCCATTAATACAATAATTTGTTGTACTTTTCAATGCATTTATTGTTAAAACATTAGTTGAGTGATCATTAATGATATGCTTTGCATCGATAGTGTGAGGAAAGTCGATCACCCGACAGATCCGTACCCACTAGTCCGCTAATATCGACACAAGCTTTTGATCTGCCATTATCTCCAATACCTCCAGTGCCGCCCCCAAGGCATAGGAAAAAGAAAGTAAACTCCGAAACCTCGTCCGTAAAGAGTGTCCAAACAGGCGATGAGAGTGCGGCTGAATATGGAGTGTGCGGTGAATCGGTTGAGATCACTGCCGATCTCACCATAAACTATACTAAAATTGAATCCAAGCCAACCGTTGACCAGGTCTTTGACCAGGTCTTTGGCCAAATGCAAGTGATTGGGCCAGTGATTAGGCCGACTCACTTGAATTTGCAATTAAAAAGCAAAGAAAGTAAATGCAATGTTTTAGCCAAAGATAGTCAGAGCACTCCATCAGTCGATAGCGACAATCAATCAATTCAAAGCACTGTTGGCAGCGATATGTCGTCTCCCACTGAACCCAACTCTGATTTGAGTGAGAAATTCAATCAAATCAAAGCCAACACAAGAGTGGCGAACACTCAAAGACCGATAGGAACTCACAATTTGCATAAATGCAAGAATAAAATCAAAGTCATAGACTTGAGACCAGAGGATACTGACGAATCACTGGTCTCTCGAATAATTAGTAAGTTTTTTTGGTTTACGTTTTCGATCGTTAACTTTATTTTTGTTTTCTCTCTCTCTCTCTCTCTCTTTTTTTTCTTTCTTTCTTTTCTTCTTTCTTTCTCTCTCTCTTTCTCTGTTTGAAATAACACTATAAGGAGGAATAGCTCTTCGACTAACTCTCACTTTGATTCATGTCTTTTACACTCTGTGTTCGCCATCTCTTAATACCATTCACTTCATACTCTCATTACTTTAATTAAAGCACTGCCAATGCCTTCCAATACCTACCATAGCCTACGAGTGCCGACTACTAGTGCCGACTACTAGTGCCATGACGTGACTTCTTATATGTTCACTAATTTTATTTAACTCATCGCCAAAACTAACGCTAAGAATAGTTTAATTTGCGATTCACTGCTTCTCTAATCATAATTCATATCATAAAATACATGCCCTTTTGTTAGTCCGTAATCTAACATCTCTTGATATATCTTATTATTCAATGTTATTTTGTATATAAAACATGCAAATCATTGGTTAACTCAACACAAAATCGATTAATTCGGCCCAAAATTTGTGTTTAATATAAACTGAATATCGGTTTTTCGATCAATACTTTTCGCATTTCTATGCATTGAGTTTTTATAATCGAAAAATGTTTTCAATCGTTGCATAAATAAGTTAGTGTTTTGTCATTAATATCTCATTTACATTGAATTTTTACAACAAAACAAAAAAGTAGCTCTGATTTGAACAGAAAAATCCTCGTTTTTTGTTCACATTCTTCTCTCTGTCTCTAAATTTCAATCGATATTTATATCAAATTCAATCAATCAGTCAAATGGCAAAAATTCAATACAAACACAGCTCCAGAGTCAACATCAAAACCAGAAAGATTGTCCCAAAAATGTCTATAATTACACGACCGGTAATTATATCTATTTTATATTTCATTTCTTTCTTTTTTCTCTCTTTCTCTCTCTTCTATCGCTTATCAAAACTCCACTCAAAAAACCACTCAAACACTCATCAAATTCGTACATCAATTGAACCAAAAACCCAAACAAACGATACGATTAATGAAAATACCAATTAATTTAAATAAATTTATAAAAACACATACAATTGAAACCAAACCACTAAAACACACGTTAAAAATCAGATAAACGGAATGTGTTTGAGTCCGACGACAGGTAAACAACAGCAACAGATCGGCGGAAACGCAGCGATTAAAAAGCAGATAACGCCCGAAATGAAACGATCTCGATCTCAAGGTACCAGAAATAAGTTGCAAAAAATGCATACAATTCAGAGTATGGCCTCCACTGAGGACTCGCACTTCAATTTCAATCTCGGTGTCAGCACAGGATCAGGTGGCTCTCTATCGTACCATTCAATATATAATCCATAAGTCTTATTATCATTACAATTAATGTCTAAAAAATCATATAAATATCTCTCATATTTTTCCCCGACTTCTTCTTCTTCTCGACAATTATTTACAAAATCAGTTAATTAATAGATAACTATCGAAGTTATTAAGGCATGTGTTCTCCTCCACCGCTATTAGACGTCAAAGCCATTAGTTTAACTCATTTCTGTCGTAGTCTTCTTGTAGTCTCTATCGTAGTAGTAGTGGTCATACCATTGATATTGTTTTGATCCACATCTATGTCCGCACCGAACGGTTTAGTGTCATAAATGTTATACATATTAGTAGTATTTGTGGTGTCAGTAATTTGTAGTCAACACATAGTTATATCTATCCGTATCTTTACCATCATAACCAAAAATCACCCCGATGACAATTAGCTGTAGAATCCATACAAATGTTGTTCACATTCATAAAGCCATAGATCGTAAACTCTCACACAATCTTTGGTAATGTATCGCACAAATCACTTATTCAAAAACCTAATCAATGATATTGTTAAAAACCACGGGTGAGCCACTCAGTCCTGGTATTGTTGCACATCTCTTACATTTTATTATTAAATCTCTCTTAATCTCTAAATTTTTCATATTTTCAATTTTTCTGAACGCATGTCTCACTTACCAAATGTTATGATTATTGAATCTTATCGTTGAATGCTTTCCGTGTTATAACTCATAAGTTATAATTAATTTATTGAAAATTTAATTATATTTCTAACTTATAATTATATTTATTGACTAAAAGTTTAAGATAATTGTAATGGATTGTTGTGTTATCTCTATCTCTGTGTGTATTAATTGTTGCTGTTGTCCGTTGTCTTGACTGTGCTGACAAAAACCATCCGACCATATATTAATCACTTATATTCTTAACACATTTCCTAAATATAATGTATAATAAAGTGCTGTCTCTTTATATATTGAGATCTCATCCCTATTTCTTAATGTTATGAATTGTTTGATCAATTGATTAGTTTGTTTAATATTGCAGAGTTTAGTCTATTTATAGGATTCAAATCACAATTTTCATTATAATTATGTTGAAAAAGCAAATAAAAATGCCATTAAATTGTTATTCGTGCAAAAACTAATTGAAGATTGAAATTCCGGTCTTATAATAGGCATAAATGTTGTTCAAGTGTTGGAAGTATTAGTGAATTCTTGCATTATTAAGGTCTGGGATGTGATGTCTGTATATATACTGACAAATCTGATTGTCTTTAAAGCCTTTGGTCTTTATTTTTCGTTATAATCATAATATGTTTGCGATTTCTGTTCTTCTCAATTGAATCAAAGAAATCCTTTTATCGCATGATTTATTTTCTCATATATTTATTTCCCTACTATTGACTAAATTATTAATTTTCATCATTTTTACTAATATTTAATCATTTAATTGTCATTTCATGTTATGTAATGTTTGTCTAACTTTAAGTCAGTATTAATTTACAAGCATTTAATATATTGTTTGTATGTTTTTTGCTGTAATTAAATATAAATATGATCTCTTGTGTCCCGAAGAGTTTGGTGTAGTGTTTGTCCGCATATTTTCATTAAGCTCTTTAATTGGTGTCACAAAATGTGTTGAGATTCTCATAGAGTTATGTCCATCCGATGCACAGATAAAATCGACAGTTCATTCTCACGCTCCCGGAGCTCAAGCATATCCAGTCTGGAGAACATCACCATTGAATCCGTTCTCTATATCGCGTTCGCTGAGACTTATTGTACAAAATCAGGTAAATATCCGCACAATTTGTTTGTTTGCATTCAATTGACAGCTAAAATAACAGCACATATTGTCACACCATTTAAGTCATCCATTCATTCAATATTGAGATTTCTGTCGACACTTATTGACAGTTGACTCTCGACTATAGGAATGGGAATTAATTTTGTCTGATTTTCTCAATCCGTTTGCTCTCATTTTGCAGATCAATCGACGAGTCCTTGTCTTTGGGTGGGAACCAGTTTGGGCTCTATATTAGTGATATCATTGACATTGCCTGACAGCACAGATAATCGCATACTATGTTTACAAACAGTTATCGCTTCCCCGAGCGGTAAGTCATCACATATTTTGTTACCATTTTTTCCCAACAAATGTTAAATGATTTTCGCAATCCTTTTATTCGACATTTCATTGGTTTATATTTTACCAAAATATATGACAAAATAATTAAATACTTAATTAAAATTATCTGAAAATTGCAGACATAATAATCTTTAAAGTATTAATATATTTATATTATCTTTTGAAAATGAATGGCAATCCCTTTCATATATGTTATAAGTTATACATTATATTCGGAATTAACATAAAACTAATTTATTATTCAATTTACGAAATTAAGGAAAATACATATAAATAAATATTAAACTCTTCTAACACCAAATGTCTGAACATTTTCGTAGTTATTGTCCATATATTTGGTTAAATAATTCATAAAAGAATTTGATTACTAAATAGAAAATTCCTTATTATTCTGAACCAAACGCTAGAAATATAATCCAAATTATTTTAATTCATATGTTCTCATTTTGCAGATCAATCGACGAGTCCTTGTCTTTGGGTGGGAACCAGTTTGGGCTCTATATTAGTGATATCATTGACATTGCCTGACAGCACAGATAATCGCATACTATGTTTACAAACAGTTAACGCTTCCCCGAGCGGTAAGTCATCACATATTTTGTTACCAGTTTTTCCAACAAATGTTAAATGATTTTCGCAATCCTTTTATTCGACATTTCATTGGTTTATATTTTACCAAAATATGTGACAAAATAATTAAATACTTAATTAAAAATTATCTGAAAATTGCAGACATAATAATCTTTAAAGTATTAATATATTTATATTATCTTTTAAAATGAATGGCAATCCCTTTCATATATGTTATATTTCATATAAGTTATACATTATATTTGGAATTATCACATAAAACTAATTTATTATTCAATTTACGAAATTAAGGAAAATATATATTAATAAATAAATAAATATTAAACTCTTCTAACACCAAATGTCTGAACTATTTTTCGTAGTTATTGTCCATATATTTGGTTAAATAATTCATAAAAGAATTTGATTACTAAATAGAAAATTCCTTATTATTCTGAACCAAACGCTAGAAATATAATCCAAATTATTTTAATTCATATGAATCTCTGCAGTCATGACTGAAATAATAATAACATTTTATGATCTCATTGTTGTACTCTTCAAATAAAATTAATTACAAGTCGTGTAAACCATTTGACGCCTAACTATAAGACATTTATTTAATTAATTGCCTCAACGATACTCAACAGGAAGTATATACCGATTGAAGGGATCAATACTTTGTATATCGTTTCTGGACTTCACGGGAGCTCTGCTTCAACTGAATGCCGATATGTGGAGAGACAACCCTAACAGGACGGGTGGCAACACTACTCCCAGCTCTACCTCTTCGGGCGCTGACGGCAACAAACGTGTCGGCTCTCTGACCATCACGAGGACGGGCAGCGGCGGCGCCACCGGTGGGTCAGCCAATCGTATCAATAAGATATCGCCGACGTCTTCCTCCACTGACATGAGAGATCCGCAGTTCGTTGTGATGGTCTCCGAGAAACAGATCCGTTTGGTTAATCTTCCGACACAACAGTGCGCTTATAAGGCGACGCTCACCGAAACATCCTTTGCCGTCAGGGCTGACGTCGTCTACATGAAGAGCACAGGTATTACACTTCACCAACCCTTCTCTCTCTCTCTTTCTCTCTCTCTCTCTCTCTCTCTCTCTCTCTCTCTNTCTCTCTCTCTCTCTCTCTCTCTCTCTCTCTCTCTCTCTCTCTCTCTCTCTCTCTCTCTCGTGTACCAAATCTAGCGATTCATAGCCGATGCACAAACGACTCGCCTTTAATTGAGTCTTAAGATTCGTGTCACAACTGAATTCAATTTTCTTCTCAATTCCTTTCAATTCATTACCATTTGTTGTGTTAAGAAAGGAGAGGAAGAAAAACAAATAAAAAACGAAATTCAAATAATAGTCATATTATAACAATAGAGACTAGTTTTATGTTTGTTCAGCACTTGAGACCCATATCTCACACCTATTTCTTTATATAACTTATATCTCATATATAATAATATAATTGTCTGTTTCTATCATTACTATTACTATTCATTATATATTGGAATTTAATATAATATTTATTATTATTATATATTTGATTGTGTGCTCCGCAGACAACATATGTTTGGCCGTATATTTAGGGACTGGGAATATAGTGGTGTACAGTCTTCCCAGTCTTCGGCTTTTGATTGATATCGATTTTCTAGCCCTAACTGATGTCAGGTATGTCTTCTCAATACACATTTAGTTTGGCTTTTTATGTATTTTTGGTCACAACACAGGCATTGAGTTCTCACTCTCTATTCGTTCCGCTTTTATTTTTATTACTTTTAATGTATTGAATGAAATGTTTAGCAAAAAAATCAAAATCGAGAAAATATAAAAAGGAAAGAATTGAATGACATTTCGGGAGGTATTGTATGGAAATAAATGCTTCCTATTAAACGAATATACAGTATATTTGACTTATAATAAAACACAAAATTCGCTGCAAATTCCTTTTCACGTATATTTCCTCTTCAAATATAGTATTGATTCACACAATAAAGTGTTTGAAAAATACAGAAATATTTATGAATTCTTAGCTCATAGTCAACACAAACACTCCGAATGGAAAACATTTAAAATTCAAATTTTGAATCTAGAATTTTGAATGATTTTGAATCTAATTATACAAATAGTGGACTCAATGCCTGGGAATTGAATGAAATAATGATAACTCAAATGCAATCTCACAGTAAATATATATTTGATATATAAATACTTATGTTTAATGGTTTGTTAGGATTGCGCGCACAATATGTTTCAGTGCGAACGGACACGGGATGTATATGTCTTCGCCGTCAACACTAACCAAATTCACAATCTTGTCGTCGTTTCGGGACCTAATGGCTGATATGGTTGGGACGCTCTTCACAGCTGCCAAAGAACTTCCAGAACCGCCAAAACCCAGTTTTCTGAAGGGTCTGTTCGGCGGCGGAACCTATTCTCTCGATAGGGAGGAACTGTTTGGCGAAACGAATGCCGGAAAGCCGTCAAAAACAACTGCACGTCATATTCCGGGCACTTCTGCCGGCATCGAGCAAATGAAGGCACAGTCGGGTACTATGGCTGCAGAACTCGCCAGAGTTAGAGAGGTATGTCTTTTTCAGTGCATTAAATATTACTGTTTATGTCATGTCTTAAGTTATTCTGAGATTCCGCTCAAATCATACGAGAAATACCAGAAAACAATCCTATTATCAATTGCGAGGCTTAACGACAAAAATGTTAATATGTTTTGGAAATAAATTTTATTTGATGTGAAAATTTGTGAAACGAAACGACGAGTGAGTGTCGTGTTTGAGAGTATTGAGTGTCGATTGTTGTCGAGAAATGTTTGTCTGACACTAAATAATGGCAAAGACTTATTTAGCGGAGAAGTGACACAAACGAAGTCATATATTGAAGGTTTAAATGTTATAACAAATTCTCGTTCAATACTTTTTGCCAATAGTTTTAGCGAAACATTTCACACATCAATAGATTGAGGACTGGATTCCGCGTCAACTCCTCTACGGTTTTAGTCTCTCTTTAATATGTCTATCATTATTATTATTGTGTGTTTCGCACAGATCTGTGCCAACGCTTTGTGCCATTACTTACTTTAATTCACTTTCTTATATATAATCGACTGATTGTTTCAAACTGTTGTAATATTTTTTCTGTTTTCTTCTCCACCGATAAGTTATTTACGCAAAGAGTCTTCTAATCTGTTTTATTATCCATTAATTCATTTTCGCTTTCGATTATTAAATCAATTTTCAGTCGTTTTATCGGAACAATGGATGAGTTGCCAGAAAATAAGGGTTGAAAACGAGAGGCAAGAAAAAAATTAATTGAAAATTGGTTTGCAATGAATACATGATTGTATTGATGGATGCAATTAGCGATGCAATCAAATACTCTATTCAACACTTGAAACTCAAAACATTTAGTTTTAACGCAATTTCTTAGATTGAAATCCAAATAAAATCAAATGAACAATAAATCGAGATTAGAGTCGAGCCTAACGTATCATTAGTCGACATAAAAGTGTATTGATTTCACTTTTATTGACTCACAATCACTCACTTCTTCTTCTTTTCGATGCGTTTTTATTGAATGCAATTTATCTGTGATTTAATTTTAACACTAATTAATTAAAATGAATGATATTTCGTAGGGATTGTCGGAAAGGGGAGAGAAAGTGAGTCAATTGGAGGACAAGACAGCGCGGATGCAATCGGAGGCCGAGGCGTTTGGCAGCGCAGCCCATAATGTTATGCTTAAGTATAGGGACAAGAAGTGGTATCAGTTCTGATCGCTGAAGACAACACACAATTGTCTGATATTAATGTTCTTCCGACTCATCCAACAAAACACAACTAACAATACAATACAACAAACCAAATGAAAAATGTTTTCTCATTTGAATAAATCAAATGCAAAATAAAGACATCGATTATCACTGAAATGAGAAATACGTTTGTTTTTAGAGAAGAGTTTTGCTCTGAATTTAGTTAACAATATGTATGCGCTTTGAGAGAAGATATTTATTTTACACTAAAAAAATCCAAAACAAAATGATAAGAAATTTATAAGCAATTCATTAAATGATCAAAACTTTTGTGAAATAATAATAAAACAATTCGATCGTCAGTTTTCGAGATAATTAAAGGAGAAATCTATTACAACCCAAACCATAGATGAAGTGTTTTTTCAAAATATTTAATTTTTTTGACAATCGATTTATTAACGTTTGTAATGAAATGTTTGATTAATTATAACTTATAAAACAATCACAAACCTTTGTTTTGTTGTGAAAATACGGGCCCTCTCTCTATACCCCAAACTATCATAAATTTAAGTATTGTTTTATAATTTTATATCTCTTTATATATTTTGAGTTATTTTCCTATTATTTATGAATTGAGAGAATATTTAATTTGATATTGAATTAGAAATTATTTATATGAATTGTTTTGCTCTCAAATTATATGTTGTTTTGAATGCAAACCCATTTTAAATGTTTGTTTGTTTTTATATTAAAACATGTTTTATTTAATGTTAATATTTTTTATAAATCGCTTAGTATTTGGTTTAAATTCTCGTAATTCACAAAAACCGCTGCAAATATGATTTTTTAGAGCAAAAAATAAACAAACCTCTAATCCCTTAATCCTATTATTGAAAAATATTATTTAATTTTAATTTATTTTATAACTCAATAAGTATTGCAATATATATTTGTAGCGTAAATGAGATTTAAGTTATAAAATCGTTAACTATTTGTATAATTTATATTAAATTTAAAGCGTCTATAATATTATTGCTATTATAATAATTGTTTTATTATTATTACATTATTGTTATTATTAGAAACATTTTAATATAAAAACTAATACTGTTTTTTGAAGTTTATGTGCAATCAGTTATAAATCTATATTAAATATAATTATATTCATATACTTGTCATACAATTATTGTTATTCTCGACAAAACAAATGTATTGAAAA